TTGCAACAAACCAATATCTTTAATTGCTCCAATAGCTTGTCTCAAATAATAAAACATTCTGGACAACACTAAATTCTCACCTGTTGACTTAGGATATTTTCGCATCCGTACAAATATATTTCCAGTGGGAGAAGATGGCAAGACAGCTGTCGAACTTAGGCAACACCTTTCACCTCAGGACATGCTGAAATGCTTCGCAGTCAAAGAATTACATTCAAAGCATAGTCATTGCTCCAATGTGAAGAAACACAGCAACTAATTTTGCACACCAAGGACACACAAATAGTAAGGAGATTAACGATCAGATCATCTGTAGTGTTGGCTGAAGAGTAAATCTTGGCCAGAGCACTTTGAAAACTGCCCTGCTCTTCTTGAATAGTACCATGGGATTTTTTACGTCTACATAAGGCAGCTGAAGATACTTTGATTTAACTTCAGCTTCAATAGAATAAAATGAAAAGGTGATAAGCCAACACCAGTCATGCATGTGTCCCTAGAAGCCAGTAAGACAATGACACTGGAAGAGATGTTGGAAGCAGTTTAGCTTCTTAAAGGCATTTGTCACAAGGCAAGTAATTTCTATTTTGGGTTGTGCAATGGAAGGAGAACATGAGAAATGGGGCAACTAAAAAATCTGGTTTCACATTTAAATTAGCTTGTCACACTGAATGAAATTAGATTTTACATGAGAAAGGTAAACTTATATCTGCACAATAATGTTAAAATAGAAAATGTCCCAAAATGCTTACATAAAAAGTCACAGTTCTATGTGACTGCAATAACTGCTGTTTTAAAGGGAACAATAAAAGCAGAAGATATAGGAGAAGAATTAGACCATTCGGCCCACAATGATTTAGTACTGTGCTGCCAATTAATACTTAATGTATAATAAGTGCATTAATTAAGTGTTGTCAAGGGAACTGAAGGAAATATTGTCATTCCAAGTAGTTTCAGAAAAATCTGCCAAATTCTACAACAGCTTTAAGGATTCTGCCTCAGCAGCTTTGTCTTCAGTATCAGATCACCAGGCTAATGAAGATTACAGCCCTCTTGTCTGGTGCTGGATCACAGAACTTAGTTTAGTCAGACATGTCTCACTTTCCTTTTGAAAATATTGCAGAAAGTAACAAATATCCAGACAGAACACGTCATGGACTCTGTTACAATACAGCTTTTCTTGGCTAGAGAATATGCTAAATCTTTTCTAAATCGAAGAAATGTCAAATCTCAAAAAGAGAAAATAAAAAGAAAAAACAAAGCTTAGAACTTAACACCATTATCATTTGTGAAATTTCTTCTGAATTTTACATTTGGGCTTTTGTTTGCATCCCATAATTCATGACACTTTCTTCCACTCTACAGATCTCCCAAGTGCTGCTCCCAATTTTTGAACCTGCGCTTAAGAGATTGGCTCACTGACTGAAGTGTGAAAGGGTTACTGAGCAAATATCAGCAACTTATCACAAGGAAGATTCTTGTTTCTCTCCACTAAAAATGCAGCAATTAAGTAAATTAACCAACATAATTGTGCTCCAGTTTTATTTTAAGCTGATTATTTTGATAAAACCCGCTTTACTTTAAAACTATAATTATTTTTAACACTATATGTCTGTATGTATTTCAGAGCAATTTCCTCGTCTCCTGATAATTTCATGCCTCTCCCTCTCAAGAGTCCTTCCTTGAATGCACTGACTTACTGAAGCAGAAACAGTTTTGTAAGCTTTGAGCACCCCTAAGTATCTCAAAATTGCAATGCCTAATTAAATATATATTTCGAAACGGGATTCAGACACAGGCGAGTTTTACATTCAAGTCCAACCCTCACTTCTCCAAACGTTCTAATACAATTACTTCCAACAGGAATCACAAGCAGCAACTCAGCTTGATGTATTCTCCTTATTCCAAAAAGGAGCCCCCAAATGTAGCACCCTAATTATCAAAAATGAAAAAAATTCCATTTACAGCTTAGTAAGTATTTTTGTTTTTAAATGCAGTTACAGTTGAAATATCAGACTAGCCAGTATTAGCCAACTAACACAACAAAGACCAGACTTGGCCAATCTGGATGGTTCAGATCAAGGTCAGATAGAAAAATCGCAGGATCCTCAACTCCGCTACACCAATCAAACTACCCCACCAACAATTAATTATGCACTCTGTTGTGCGGAAGAACAAAATAGATGTTGGCTCCAACATGCAAATTGTTCAAAATACCTTTCACCATGGGACTCAAACAGTGTTGAATATTTTAGCATATGGAACGGGTCTTAACAACAGCATAGCACCTTAGGGTATAGTTACTCTGGGTGAAGTCCCCCATGAGTACAGGAGGAGAAAGTGTTCAACATCTCATTCCCAGTCTCATCCACTTGAAGACCATGTTGAAAGTCGAGGCACATGGTGCAAGCGGTTGTCCCAGTGTTTAATTGTCACACATTGAGGACAATGTGCACCCCAAGTTTTCATTCAAATTTCACCAGACAAGGCTCCCCTCCAGCACCAACGGGTCTAGAAATGTTTCCTTCCTCACAAGTTTCAGAGGAAATCATTGCAAAGGTGAAACATAAGAGCAAATTGCATTGTAACTCCCTCATGACAGAGTCAGTGAAGGTACTAGACTGCACTCAATTGAGCTGCACTGGTCAGAAAGATCCCATCAGATTCTATGCTGAATTATCTCATCATCACTAGACAGCTGGTTGATGCTTCACAAATGGGTGTGAATCCTTCTCTCCCACCTACATGTGCACGACCAACAAGGGCAAAGAATCCTTGCCTGAAAGCTATCCAGTGGCAGGCAATACTCAGGTGTGGTAATAGGCAAGGTAGGAGAGCTGTGAGGCAGGACATGGGGGTCAGGCCACACTATGTCAACTCAACTCAACTCAATCATGGTCTTTTATCTCCACAGATTTTTAAAGGTTGTGTTTGTGATTTTCTGGGCTAGACATTATTTAAAGAAGGCAATGTCTCTAGACAGTATTGCAGAGGCAAAAACAGAAATTGCTGGAAAAGCTCAGCAGATCTGGCAGCATCTCTGAAGAGAAATCAGAGTTAAAGTTTCGGGTCCGGTGACCCTTCCTCCGAACTGAGTTTCTGATATACAGCATCTGCAGTTCTTTTGGTTTTTAATTAGTATTACAGAGGCAGTGCTTTAACATGAATACCATGCATTCCAGGTCTGAAGAAAGCACTTGCTGTGTCATCAACCTCTATGACAAAACCTGCCATTTTTCCCCAATAAACCAAACTCTCTTCACACTCGGTGAGAATGAAGGGACAGGAAATCTGGCACGTCAAAGAATCAAAAAATTGCTACAGTGCAGAAGGAGGTGACTTGGGTCATCACGTCTGCACTGGCTCTCTGAGCATTTCAATTTGGTGCCAATCTCCTCTGATTCTCAATCCTTTTTTGAACAGGATTTATTTTTCCCTATCAATTCAATCGAGACACCTCATGATTTTGAAAACTTTCATCAAATCTCCTCATACTCTTCCTCTCCAACAAAAATACTCCCAACTTATCCAATCTTTCCTCATAACTGAACCTTGTAAAACTCTTCTGTACTCTGTCCTTCCCATAGTGTGGTGCCCAGAACTGTCTTCAACATCCCAACTAAAGTCTAACCAGTGTCTTATCATCAGAACTTCTTACTCTTCTATTCTTGGCTCCTTTAATGAAATCCAGCATACTGTAGACATTAACAGTTCTCTCTACCTGTCCAACCACTTTTAATGACTTACGTACATGCAGGTCTCCCTGCTCCTGCACATATCAGAATTAATGTGGTTTGTTTTATACTGTGCCTTTATGTTCTTTGTAACAAAGTGCATCACCTCACACTTCTCCACATAGAACTTCATTTGCCACCTATCTGTCCACAGCAGCAATCTGTCAATACCCTTTTCAAATTTTACACTGTTCTCCCCACAGTTGATAATTCTCTCAATTTTTGTGTTTTATCTGGCCAATAATTGCATTTCTCCTGTCAGCATCCAAAGCAGCCAATCTGGCACTCAGACTATCCCAATTGACAGGTTTCTCGGTCATCAATGCTTGCCGTTGTTCTGGATAAGATCTGAGCTGTGGGTTCAGTGGTTTGCACCATGTGCAAGCCCTGTCTGAGGCTCTAGTTGAGGCACACCATTAAATAAACCTGATTAGCTCATCACAAGCAGAGGGTTTTCCCTTTTCAACACTTTTACTGTATTCGACACAAATGTTATAGTGTCCCAGCTTCTGATTTGAATCTTATTCAGAAAAAATGCTGCTTGATCAATGCATAATATTGCAACATAATATTTAAAACAATATAGCTCATATACTTCCACACAATAATAAATGTCTCAAAACAAATGTATTTCAGGCAGGATTTTAAACCAGCCAGTATCAAATGCCTGCACTATGTTGTACTATAGTGTGCGTGATAATACTTATTTCTGCAGAGCTCAAATTATGTAGTTAGAAATAATATATCAGTAATATAGTCTAGTAAATTTACAAATAGTTGATCTGGATTATTAAATCCATCTAATATTAAAGCAAATCAACCCAAGTGATCAATCTCATTTTTAACTTTCCATAATTTTTGAACAAACAAAACTTTTAAACCAAGTGAAAAATAGAGAAGACCAATATTTAGCTTTCTCTAATAGCTTAATACCTTAGTTCCAAAAATATTTAATTGCTGAAAGAAAAAACAAACTCTATGCAGTGCATCAGGATATGAATAGGTTTCTGGTACACATTATCAAAAAGTACTGAACTCTTGTGCTACATATGCAATTCCCAAATAACTGCAAAGATAATACTGCAAAAGGCACTTTAAACAAAATAATTATTCTGCTGTAGCCAACAGGAAAATAATTCAGCACTTGTCTAAAATCCTGCACTCCAAACTTGGCTATATAATTCAAACCCCAGAATCTTAATAGATTAATAACGTGTAGTAGATAAAGCTCTGTTGAAAAGCAGTGTTTTGAATAATTCCATCTCTTACCTCACTCTGTCTGGAGAAACACTAGTACAGGAGGGTGAACATTGTGAATCATCAGCTTGGTGAATTCTACCATTCTGCTGAAATTCTATAGAAGAAACACAGAGAGATAAAAACTAGCAGACATAACAACGAGTTCATCATAACATTGGCGAAGAGCCTGTCTTCTCGACGCAAAATAGCTTGAAATATATAACTACGAATCGGCTCAGAACTGATTCAGATGGACTCAATTTTGTTCAATCTGTACGTTTCTTTTCCAACTTTTTAACCATGAAATATACCATGGACAAAAAGAGCAGCCAGACTTACTACCTCAATGCAAGTTGTACTTAAGGCCACTAACTTATACCCTTGAGGTGATCTCATAAAAAACATACCAGCTCCATGTAAAATTTACCCATAATCTCGTGAACAAGCATACATACCAGGTTTAACAAATCAAACAAAAGTTAATGGAGACATGAAATATAAGAATGTGAGCAGTCAAAAGTACTATTTAATTTGTTGTTGGATTGACAAATTTCACAAGTAACCGTGATCATGCAAGGAGTTAAGTATGCAGTCAGACATTTTCCGTATGAGTGTTCAAAGTTCCTACTGCCAAGGTTGATGTCTTAAATATGTAAAAAAAACTTGTGCTTATAATTTTCAACACTTACAAGTTTCAATCTAAATGCCTAATTTCTGATCAACTATACCTAAATTTTACTAATTAGACAACTCAAGATGCAAACTAAAACTTTAAAAGTGCTCCACAGCAAATTCAAAACAAAGATTCTATCATTATAGAGAACATTTCAAGCAGACATACAGCCAATTAAAATGTATTCATATGCCTTGCAAATCATTTATCAAAAATACTGAATACCTGGCATCAATTAAGAATTATCAAAGAATGCTGTTTCCATTATAAAATTTTAGTGAGCTTAATTCCTGAGATTAGATTAGTCACAGTGTCAAACATTGGCATTTGTTGTTTTTCTAAAGCTATTCATATTTTTTGCTTTATGTGGGGTCCTTTTTTGAACCGATAGCATCTGATTGAGAGATGATGTTGACAAAAAAATTGTGATAGCATCACTGTCAGCTAAGCTCAAGCCTCTTCATAATCAACTGTAAACTGAAATCATTAACTGGCTCCAGGTTATTTTGTGCATGAAGCTTACTGAGTACCCCACAACAAGAGAAGAAGCTGACAGCATATATTCTACAGCATGGTAGCACTTTCATGCCAGTTTTTTTTTTCCAAATTATTCATCAATTTATGCATTAGGAAAATTATAAAATTTCCAAACAAAACCTTTGAGAATTTTGCTCTATATAAATTGCTGAAAAAAGGAAACCTGCTGTCAAAGCTTTACATTTGGCACTCATCAATATAGAATTGCAAGAATATCTAATCTGAAAAGGCACAACAATTTATATTGCATGAGAAAAGGGTGCTGATTGGTTGACAATTGAACGCTCAGCAGTACAGCATTTGCCATGGAGAATACACCGGGGAACAGTCAACTGCCAAGATTTTTTAAAATTTAAACTACGCAAGTTGACTCTGATTGCATCAGAAAATGTCTGGACCAAAGCATTTATTTGGTTGAAAAAGGCACTGTGCATGGATCTATTCTTTCTGTTCACAAAGGACAGCACCCAGTATGTGAACATATGTAACTTCCGGAAAACTTATGGTAACCCACACTGAGAGTCCATTGACAGTCTTAAATTGGTCAGAAGTGCAATTCTTAGCATAAGCAATTTTTTTTTGATTAATAGTAGCATGAAAATGTCTAATAGCTTCACCTATTGCTCACAATTTTGAGACAACTTGCCCTTCCAAGGTGATCTGAGGTCAACTAGGTACTTTTCAGGACAGTAAGTTGCTGCCTTAGGCCCAATCCTAAATTTGCAGGATAAATAGCAAGCAATGATCTGATTAGGGTAGCCACTTTCCCTCAAGATTGCTCTGATGCACCCTTGTGCAGCATTAAGCTTGCATGGTAAGCAAATGGCTCTGGCCCCTGAAAAGTACTCAGTTTACCTTGGGTTTGAACAACAGACAAAGATAACCATTTGCACTGCTACTATACAGTGGCAACATGAGTACAGTTCTCCAATAACAGGCTGTCAAGACAAAAAGGTGTTCTGCCTACCACACAAATGACAAGTGAGGTATGTGAATTCCAGTGCCAGTATGATTCTATGTATGAAGGCCATACATACCAACTGCTGGTGGATTGAAACCAACAGTATATCACTATATCCCTTTAGCTGATGCTAACGTGCCTGCTTTGAACTTGAACAAAAGCTTAGTAGTTCCCTGGAGTATTGTCCATGGCATCCTTTCTACTAATCAGAGTCTACATGCCATTGAGTCAGCACCTTTTCTCATACAGTATAAATTGTTACTGAGATTTGGTATTCTTGCAATTCTGTCCTAATAGTGCAAGAGGAAAACCTTTGACAGCACTACTCTACTCAATGCAAATTTTTCAACTTAAACCAGACTTTATCAGGGACTGGATATGAGCTGTCATCATTTAACGGAACAGTCAGATTTTGGTACGCTCATCTGTTAAATTGTGCAATCTTTAGAAGAAAGATACTTACGACAGCTTTCATTTTCCCCCCTACTTGGTAGATCAGTGACACGGACACTTGAGTTGATGTAAACTGCTCTATGAGCCAACACATGCTTGGAGATTAATCCATACTGTTGCTATGCATAAAATATCTGGACAGTTTGCTGAAATGGACTGATAACTGGCTGCAGTCAAGGTGGTCACGCATGGAACTTTGTTGGAATAATGGCAAGTTATTATTAAGGATACTAAAACAGCAGTTCTGAGGTTTTTCTTTTTCACATTATTCATTAATAATTTCAAATTTGGGATAGAGAGAAGGAATTGAATTTTGCCAACTGTGTCAAATTGAAAATGGTCAGGATTGCAAATGCTCAAAACTAGACTGATTGGGCACAAAAGGACGTGAACATATTGCAAAGTTAGGCTGAGTTATCGCAGATAAACTTCGCTGTTGCCTAGTGTCGTATGATTATGATGATGGGAATGCAGCATCAGAACTATGGCAAGATCAATCAAGATCACCTGTACTTCTCTTGACAGCTAGACAAGTCAATCCTGGAAATTGAGGGTAATAAATGCATATTTGGATTCCCCAAGCACTTTACAGGGTCTGGACACGCAATTGGTGAAAAAAGCAGTTCAGGCTTTGCGTCAGGCTTTAAGTAGTGAAGGGTGCATTCTGTTCTTTTGTGCGGCCATGACTGTCTCCACTCTGCCTGAACATTGCCATGTAAACACTGGAAATTCTTCAGACGACAAAAAGATAAATTCTAAAAAGTTGAATAAAAATGTTTATGGAGGGAGGGGCAGGGCCTGTCAAAAAGGGTAGATTTGAAAGAGGCCTTTAAATGTGGGAAAATCTGAAATTTTCAGCCTATACTTCGAAAGGCCCCACCATAAATATGAATGAAATTAATACAATGATGTCACAGCTGAATGACTGCCCGTTGTGTACGGGTTACTAGGCTGGAGATGGCTGGAGAAAGGGGACAAAATCATAAAATGACTACCCTGATCATAAGAAAAAAAAATAAAATTCAATATGCATTCAGCATATTGACAGTGAAAGCTGTGTGCTTTAGTTCACACCCTTTGAGAACCGATTGAAAGAATACTGCCCAAGTATCTTTCTCATTCTGGGTCTCTGAATGGTAGGTTGTTTCAGACTCAGAATCAGAAGCAACAATCTACATTTACATGATGCTGTAAGTATAGAAGAACATTCTAAGGTATTTCTCAGAAACCTTTTCAAAAAGTATTATACTAAACCATAATGAAACAAACGCGTTTTGGAAAGGTTTGAAAAGAAGAACAGCACAGAAATACTAAGGGAGAGAATCAAGAGTGGTGTCCAGGCAGGTAATGGCAGAACTGCAAATAGTACATGGATTTAAGGGGTGCAGATCCCAGTAAAGCCAGAGGAAGTGGAATGATTTAAATACCAAGATAAGAATTTTAATTATGTTCCAAGGACGGTGCAAATGACTGAGGGCAGGGATGATGAGAGAGTAGAATTAGGTTTGGTGCTTAGTGTGCAAAAATGTGAAGGTTATGAAGGATGGCGGTTGGGAGATCCGCTAGGAGAGTCACATTGAGGTGACAAAGACATGTACGGCTCTCATACCATGGAGCTACAATGGGTCGGAAGCAAGCAATTTTGTGGAAGTGGAAGTAGGCAGTATTAGTGATGACAAGCATGAGGTCAAAAGCTCAGCTTCGCATTGAATAACACACCGAGGCTGCAAACCATCTGCTTTTGCCTAAGACAGCTGATAAGGAGAAACAGACTTGGTGGCAAATGTATACACTTTGTGATAGTGACTATAGATATTAGTTATGGCTTTGACAATATTTAACTAGAGGAAAGTGCACTTCACCCAAACATTCATGTAAACAAATCATTCAAAGCTAGTACAAAATCCAAAAAGTAAATGAAATGATGGCCTTTTTCTAAAAGTGGTTGTCAAACAATAACAGGAAAATTTTAGTCATACAGAGTTTGGGTTGGTTTTCAGTTGATCTATAATGTTCAATTCTGGTCATCTAACCTCAGGAAAGATATTTTGTTTCTGAAGTGGTTACAGTGATAACAGGATTAAATTATCAAACAGATTACACAAACGTGTTTTCTATTCTCTTAAATTTAGAAGAGTGCTGAGTGAATTAATTGAATTAAATTAGAAGGGTTTCACAGTAGAGATTGAGAGAAACTAATTCTTCTGGTGGCAAAACCTCAAACCAGTGTTCATAATCTTTAAATGACAATTAAATCTTTGGAAGTACTTTTCATACAAACAGGACTGGAAATCTGGAAACTTGTTCCCACAGATGCTGTGGATTCCAGCTTAATTGGAATTAAAATTGATAGATTTTTGTTGGATAAGTGTATCAAGGAATATGCAAAAACATATAAATAGAGTTGGGGTACAGATATACCATGATCTAATTAAATGGTGGACCAAGCCCAAGGGTGAATTATTTCCTCCTGCTCCTATATAGTCCCAGTTGAAATATGAAGTTAATAAAACCACAGAAGTCTACAAATAGTGCCCAATGACTTATGAAGATTAAGCAGCCTGGGTTCAAAATTTCCTTTAAACAGCTTTGTCTTTCACAGAGCACAAATAAAACATTGCATACTCAGCACTGAAACATAAAATACAAGAGCGTACATTAAGAATCAATACTTTCTGATCTATTGCAATTACTGAATAACTACAAAAATCTCTTTTTAAATATGGTTAGAAATATTTTAATGTAATCCAAGTTGTAAAAGCATTCTAATCAAGATAATTTGAATAAATGTTTTAGAAATCATCTTCATAATTTTGTTAAACATAGCAAAACTATGAGCAGCATGCAAAGAAAATGAATTTACAGATGGACAAAGCAATTCACAAAGTCAACATCTCATCATCTTCCCTTGTGGTCAGAAAAAGAGGGGGCCCGGGCTTCAGGTTCTGCAGTGATCTCATCAACTTGTTGCTTAAGAAGAAATCTTAAGTATAATGTTTGCGTACACTTTTGCACTGTTTTTCAAACATTTCAATGTACTGTACCAGTTAAACTTAGTGGCGCTTCTTAGTTTGTTTACAAATTGTATTTATGCTCCAAATTTTTCATTGGATTTCTAACAAATTTAGTGCATTAATTCAACATGCAACCCCTATGAAATATTGTATGATACATTTCTAAACCCAAGAAAATATTTCCAGCCTCCAGGAATCAAGATGAAAAGAAGCTAACATTTGTCATGAGACATGTCATTAGGATGAATGAAATTATTCCTGGAATGAAATTAGAGAAACTGTGAATAACAGGTGACTAATTTACTAAAGGAAAACATGGCTCTCATTTGGCTTAAGTCATTCTTATACAGTGTTGCGATATGCTGACAATAAAAGTCAATTAAGTATATGCAAATATTTTTTAAAGATTAAAGAATTAGATGTTGCAAAACACCTAATTTTGATATATGACTGATGTGCCAATGCACTTAAAATTTTCCTGCATTTTTTCAGCCAACCTAAAATTAACTATCAATAAACACTAAGGTTAAAACCAAATGGAAATGATAAACATTAAACAAAATTTGACTGCTTGAAAACTAACTGCTTTGTACTATAACATACAAGGTAATACAGTAAGTTTACACAGAGTGTTCCATAGTGTACAAGTTGCTGTTATTATGTGCTAATAAACAAGACCCATATTTTAAGACAGTAATAAAACTATGGTCATCATTTTCAAAATCAATTTAAGACAAGCAACAGATAACACCTCAGACTTTGTGAAATTAAGTTATTAATAGAATCATGAAATGGAATTTTGCAATTCTAACAAGAAACAATTACTTTTGAAGAACAAACTTACCAGTTTTAATACTAACTATAAAAACACACATTCTCATTGAAGAGCTGCAAATCAATTAAGAGGCATTAAGTAATTTCTTATGTATGACCCACCACCCTCAATCCGAGTATCAGAATGAACCATGTGTGTGCAGTACTTACTTTCTGTCATGATGGTGCCATTAGGCAAATTTCCCAAGTCAACATTAAGGCCATCCAGGCAAACAGTCAATTCACCGCTGCACACAACACCACTTTTGTTTCCCACCTGAAGGTTCAAATTTAGCTGAATGTTCTCCACTGTGAACAAGAAAAAGTTAAGAGAAAAATGATTTGATTGAGTTTGTTATTTCTCTGCCACTCACAAGTGAAAAAATACCATGGGCAGTTTTCAGGTCACGAAGTTTCTGCAGACAAAGACCTTCTGTTAAAGTACACCTTAATTCAAAACTTTTAAGTGTAAGCCTGGATGCACAGAAACAGAGCTTTTCAAATGTTCCAATCTGTACTAACAAACATTGTGAGCAAGATGTTTTTAGTATTCCCTTTCTAAATCCAAGGATGGACAGAATGGTCCTGCTCCTGCTCCTGTTTTCTATGTTTCTATGATAAAGAGAATGGGATTGACTCTTTATTTATGGATTTTAAGAAAGTGCCTGACAAGCATCACAAAAGCTTGATAAGAGTTAAAGCTTATGGAATACCAAGGCCAGTATTCTGTTGCTTTAAAAATTTAGCTTAAGACAATAAGAACCAGGAGCAGGAGTAGATAATTCAGGTCCTTGAGCCTGCTTCATCATTTGATATGATCCTGGTTGATCTCAGTTCAGCTTCACTCCTCTTTCCTGCCCACTCTCCATACACTTTCAACCCATTACTAATTAAAATTGGTCTATCTCCTCCTTAAATTTACTCAATGTCCCAGCATTCACTGCACTGAGGTAGTGAATTCCACGTATTCACAAAACTGAGAGAAGTAATTTCCCCTCAGCTGTTTTAAATCTGCTCCACCTTATCCTTCTGTCTTAGCTTGCCCCACATGAGAAAACATTTTTTCCATGTCCACTTTGTCAATGCCATTTAGCATCTTATATACCTCAATTAGATCTCCTCTCATTCCTCTAAACTCAAGACAGTATATCTCTCTTCATAAGAAAAACCCTCATTTTTGGAATCAATCTAGTGAATCTCCTCTGGACTGCCTTCAATACAACTATATCACTCGAGTAAAGGGATCAAAATTACACACAATACTCCAGGTGCAGTCTCATTAGTGCCTTGAACAGTTGAAGCAACATCTCCCTACTTTTACACTCTATTCCTTTAGCAATAAATGCCAACATTCCATTTGCCTTCCTTATTACCTGCTATACCTGTGTACTAGTTTCCTGCGATTCATGCACGAGAACACCTAGGTCCCTCTAAACCAAAACACTTTGTAGTTTCACTTAAATTAGATAAGTGCCTTTCAATTGCTCTGACCAAAATGGCTAATCTCACATTTATCCACATTAAACGTCATCTGCCAAATTTTGGCCCATTCATCTAACCCATCTATATCCATTTGTACATCTCTTATTTCTTCATTGCAATCTACTCTCCCATCTATTTTAATGCCATCTGCAAATTTGGCTCTATTACTTTGTAGCCCCACATCCAAGTCATTAGGCAGATTTTAAATAATTGGGGTCCAAGGACCAAACCCTGTGGCACCCCAATATGATTCTTTTTCAGACTCAAGGGTGATGGAGTGGTGTTCCCCAATATCAAAACTAAGATCTTTCTATTGCTATTTATAATTTACCTGAATCCTGGAATATGGAATAATATTTTCAAATTAATTTGAGTGACAAACAGTGAGAATGATACAAATTGCTTACAACAGGATATACAGCGGTGAACGAAAGTGGCAGACAAGTGATATAACCAGGTTAATGCAGAGAATAATGAGGTGTTATTATTGATAGAAGGGCAAGGAAGTAGCACTGTAGACTTTATGGCACAATTCTAAACAGCACGTAGGAACAGTGTCTAGCACAGAAACAGGCCACTTGAACCAACAGGTCCACACCAGTGTTTCTGTTCCACACAAACCTCCTCCCACTGTTTTTCATTTAACATACATTCTCTTCTCCTCCTTCCCCTTTATTTAATTTCCCTTGATCCACACCAATCACACAAACTATTTCATACACTATCAAATTCTATATACTAACCACATTCTAGCGAAAGGAATTTCTCCTGAATGCCCAATAGGATTTATTCAAGACCATCTTCTATTCATTCTAATTTTGATATGGAGGTGCTGTTGTTGGACTGCGGTGGACAAGGTTAGAAATCGCATGACAACAGGTTATAGTCCGACAGGCTTATTTGAAAACACAAGCTTTCGGAGCTTCACTCCTTCTTCAGGTGTTAGGTGAGAGAGGAAGTATCAGACACAGAATTTATAAGCAAATGACCCCTCTGTCCCTCACACATACATACATAGATACACACTCTCTCTCTCTCTTTCTCTCCCTCCTCACTCTCTCTCTCTCACACACACACACACACTCTCTCTCTCTCTCTCTCCTCACACCTAACATGCATCGTCTGACCTAAAATGTCACCTCTTCTTGACACTGATAAAACTTTTAGTTCCCTCAGGACAGTGACTTGAAAAGACTTAGAGGATTTACATATACATTTTAATTAATTAAAACCTTCTAACTGATTAAAGATTTAACAGCATCTTAGGTTTGTTTAATACATCCTCATCAGTGGTGTGACCCTTTGATCTTTTATTTATAAATTCTGTGTCTCACACGACTGCCCTCACTAACACCTGAAGAAATAGTGAAGCTCTGAAAGCATGTGTTTTTAAATAAACCTTTTGGACTATAACCTGGTGTCGTGTGATTTCTGACCTTGTCCTAATTTTGAAAAAAAATCTTCTCTCACATCGAGTCTATCAAACCTTCAAAAGTTCTATTTGGTTACCATCTCTTGTTGAAAGTAGAGGTTTCCAGCCTGATCCACCTTTCCTTATAGTTTTGATAATATCTCTTTAACTGAGTAGTCACGTGGAGAAAGGTAGAAATTATGCATTAAGTATGAAGCAGTCTGAAGCAAACAACATCCTACCCTGTGGCCTCAGTGATATTTACAAGAACTGCATCATGACAAAAAATGCTCATTGCTTTTTAGAGGTCTACCAGAAAAGATCTACAAATGTTCAAAATCAGATTGAAAACAGAGAATGTTCAGCATGTACATCATATCAACTCTAGATGAAATATGCAACTTTTACTTCTAAAGATGCACTATGCATCTTCACACAATTATATTTGTATTGTCATAATGCTCTTGAAAAGGTGAGTGTACAAAATGGACCAGGAGAGTGAGGGATTTGTGGAGATTCTTTGAAAGTCTTGGTGAGATGTAAAAGAAACTGTCTATACATGACAAGAACGTATTTTCTAGTAGAATGATCAGTGAGTGAATTGCTCACTGCACCAAGACTAAAGGAAGGAATGAAATTACAGCAGTTGTTGGGAATGTCACTAAATTCAGGGCAATAGAAAGCTTTCTTAAACAAAGAAAAGATGCTGGAGATCTAACATCCCTTTCCTAGCTGCTTTTAGTTTTGGTGAAAGGCTACAGGACTTAAAACATAAAAACTGTTTTTCTCTCCACAGATGCTTCCAGACCTGCTGAGTTTCTCCAGCACTTTCTGATTTTGTTAGAGAACTTTTTTTGATGGATGTGTTTCAACCCAATGATGAAGAAAGTTTCTGAGGAATGAAGCAGGGCAATTGGAGCCTGATTTCAAGACAGAACACTTGGTAAACAGTAAGCAAAATGTTAGGTTAAAAATGGTTATGGAAAATCAAGCATAAAGTTATTCCTGGAGGAAGATCAATTTTCAGTGAGTTAAAAAAGTATGAAGCAAGTTCAAAGGAAAATAGAAAAATGCTCATGATAAATTCATAACACTTGAATATAGCAAACACAGCCAAAAGCAAACAACAGGAGCTACAACAGAATATCAGCCGGAGGGTCACTGGACTCAATGTTAATTTTGCTTCTCTCTCTACAGATGCTGCCAGATCTGTCGAGTTTCCCCAGCACTTTCTGTTTGTGTTTCAGATTTACAGCATCTGCAGTTTTTTTTTTGTTTTTATTATATCAGAATAGATATGCTGGGATCTTGGTTGACATCAACAACTTTTTATGGAAAAGAAGAAATCTGAAATCCTAGTAATTTACTGAGATCAATAAAGCCACAAGTTTCTGTGGTTTAAAACAAACTAAATTTTACTATACAAGAGTAAAGCAAAGCTAACACTAAATACTATCTTATTAACCGCATGTACTCTAAAATCTAAACACAAGTTAAACATGATCTTAACAGGCAAATTATGTTCAATCATAAACTATAAATTACACATTAAATGGCATATACATCTAAGAGAGATCTTACAAATTGGCTTGGCAGTCCAGTCAGTTCCATATGTCATCAATCTGTCTTCTCCCATCAAAAAATTCAGCTCTTCTAGGATTTAGCCAAATGTCCAGCTTACAGCAGCAATACAAACAACCCAAGTTGCACTGAGACAGTCTTGACCAAAAACGACTGCCTGCTGAACCTCCTGAACTCCCATTCTGACACAGTATGGACACTGTAGATCACTAATGTTAGATTCAAGCAACACAAGCAGCTGTAACAACTGTAAATTTGCCGAATTCTCAGTTTCTTGATTTAGCCTGTCTTTTTCAGCCTGCCCAAACAGCACCACTGGGATCATACTCATCTATGCTGACGTCTGTGTCTTTTCTGTATACTTTCAATCAGTTCCAGTCCCTCCAGATGTTTGGTTTCCAATCTGTTTCAGTCTTAGTTTTGTATGAAAGTAAGAGCATCAGCTTCCTTCCTTCATTTTCCTTTTCGGTTCCTTCATGGCCAGCAGCTCACAGCAAAGACACCCCAAAAGTCTCTTACAAATACAAATAGTAATCGGGTAATAATTAAGAACCAAAAAGGAGATCTTGTGAAGGCAGAATGTATGGCAGAGATCTCAAAATGGTACTTTACATCTGTCTTCATAAAAGGACATTCCCAATGCCGCAAAGGAGAAAGCAACAGCAATACTGAATAGGATAAAAAGAGGATAAAAAGAGGATAAAAGGTTAGCAGTTCTTAAAGTAGAAAAGCCATCTCATTCAAGATGGGATGTATCGTAGCAGTGCTGAGGAGAAATAAGGGGAGAAATTCCAGAGGCTCTGGCCACAATCTTCCAACCCTCTTTAAACATGGGAATGATGTCGGAGGATTGGGGATTGCATATGCTACACGCCTGTTTGAAAAAGAT